AACCACACGGGTGTCTCTCTCTCTCTCTCTCTCTCTCTCTCTCTCTCTCTCTCTCTCTCTCTCTCTCTCTCTCTCTCTCTCTCTCTCTCTCGTTACTGCATTATTGACGAACTGTTATTGATAACTGGAGTGTTAAAAGAAGCCCGCGTGGTACGCTTACTAAAAATAGATCTTTATGCTTTGAAAGCGAATTTAGTTTATGCAAAGAGAGCACTATTATTTAGGAAACCTTTTTAGTTTTGTGAGAGTTTTACGTACGGCACTTGCAATACAATGAGGTCAAATAAGTGTTGAAAGGGAATCTTTGGTGGCAGTGGCCGGTGTCAGTCACACTGTGACGCTTTTTGACTCGTGACTCAAAGAAAGGAAACAAACGTAAATAGGAAAGGAAAGGACAACTTTCTTGATTCATGTAAGGAGAGTGGGCACTATAAAAATGATCTTCACTTTTATTATTATTATTAAATCTGGTTCAACTAGACGATCGTAAAAGACTCAGAATTTCAACTCGTCGACGCGTAAGCATGACCTCTTTCACAAAAGCAAACACAGTATTTTGTATGTGTGTACGTTTTAATACGTCCACTCAAACAGTCTCAGACACATTTTGTACATAATATGTACTCTCATGATCCAAGTTACATGCATAAATTATCACATCTAAGGTGCTTCCCTAATCTATCTATCTATCTATTCATCTGCCTGTCTGTCTGTCTGTCTGTCTGTCTGTCTGTCTGTCTGTCTGTCTGCTTGTCTGTCTGTCTGTCTGTCTGTCTGTCTGTCTGTCTGTCTGTCTGTCTGTCTGTCTCTCTCTCTCTCTCTCTCTCTCTCTCTCTCTCTCTCTCTCTCTCTCTCTCTCTCACCTCCTCCCAAAAAAACCTCAGTGTGCCACGGCCCACATACTACCAACCCCTGACTTTCCCGGAGAAATCTATCCCCGCAACCTCTCCCGTGAAAAGGTCAAACATTTCAAAGGTCACGCCTCTTCCACCCTGCTAATTTTTATTCTCTTTAAAGATTTATGTGTGGGTGGTTGACGGGTGCTCTGGTGCGGGTTGCTCCTTCTTTCCCATCGAACATTTATAATTCTTATCTCCCCTTCTTCTTTTTTTATGTTTGTTACTCTCTTGTAACACATCTAATCTTCTAGCGCTCATATGGCCTTATGCAGTTGCGAGCGCCATAAAACCTCAACTAAAACTTTAAAAAATTAAATAAAAAATTTATGTCCCTCAGATCAAAATGATGCTGTTTTCTCATCAGACCTAGATTCGACTGTAGAAGAGCTGACGCTTTTTATCTTAGTTCATTTTTTTAACGTAGACATGTTTACGCTCCCATCACCATAACGTTGATATGTGAGGCAGCGTGGTGGAATCAGGCTCTCGTCAATTTTGGGGCATGTAGAGTTATTGGTATTATCTTAAAGCTTGTTCACTTGTCTTTATTTGGATGGAAAAAAATGTCCATTTATCTTGAATACAAGTCGTGATATTTGCGAAAGAAGGAGGTGGGGGTCACCTGTTTTCAGAGGTAAAATTTGTGAATAAATGGAAGCCAAAGATTAATTATTGCCTTAGCTTAAGAGTCCTTGGTAACTGAAAATTTACATTTTTTTGTGCCTTTAATCAACGTTTTTTTTCTCAGAAAAATCCAAACAAAAATGAGTTCTTTAACGGGCATGTAAGGAGTTGGGCCAAAAAACATAAATTTGATAAAAATTCACAAACCTGCGGAAAAATGCGAGTTTCTTCACTTTGAATATTTTGACGAAAGACTGATTCCATCACGCTGCCTCACATATCATAATGTAGGAGTCAGGCTTTAAACCCTAAGTGTCTAGGCCAACCCGGGCTGAGAGGGATACACCATCCCAACAGAAAGATCCGGGCTGAGAGGGATACAACATCCCAGCAAACAGACCCAGTCTGAGAGGGATACAACATCCCCACAGAAAGACCCGGGCCGAGAGGGATACAACATCCCAGCAGACAGACCCGGGTTGAGAGGGATACAACATCCGAACAGAAAGACCCAGGCTGAGAGGGATACACATCCCAGCAGACAGACCCGGGTCGAGAGGGATACAACATCCCAACAGAAAGACCCGGGCTGAGAGGGATACAACATCCCAACAGAAAGACCCGGGCTGAGAGGGATACACATCCCAGCAGATAGACCCAGACTGAGAGGGATACGACATTCCAGCAGACAGACCCGGGCTGAGAGGGATACAACATCCAAACAGAAAGACCCAGGCTGAGAGGGACCCAACATCCCAGCAGACAGACAAGGGCTAAGAGAGATACAACATCCCAGCAGACAGACCAGGGCTGAGAGGGATACAACATCCCAGCAGACAGAGGGATACAATACCCCAATAGAAAAGACAAAGATACTCGAGAACTTGGGAGTCGAACTCGATCGGGTCCCCGACATGCGATAGAGAAGCGCCTTACTGCAACACCCTAGACTACCATGGCATGCTTTGATCATAAATGTAGCTCTTCGCATAATGTGACATAATATAATCATGTAACTAAGATCAAACAATATGGGCAAGGGTATTCTGGTCGCGATTCCGAATATCTCGCTGGTCAACACGAAATCCGCTGAAGTACTGATTACCTTCCAAGCTTAACACTATATTAACGTTGACGAATTTAATCATTTATATTATGCATGTGACTGTGAGCCTGTATGTGAGTGCAAGCACACTATTGGGCTATTATGGTTATGTGCACAGATGTGTGTGGAGGCCAGGATGTGTGTGAGTGTGTGTGGGGGGAGGGGGATGCGCACAGGGGTGCGTATGAGTGTATGCACGTGTGTATGTGTGTGGGTGTGTGGGTGTACTTGTGTGCGTGTGTTTGTGTGAGAGAGTGTCTACGAGTGTATGTACGTGATGAAACACCAAACCGATGTGCCAGGATCTGGACAATAAAGATAATTATCTTATCTCAATTCATCCTAGAAATGCCCAAGCTCTCGAGAGTAAGACTAAAACTGGCACTATAGCACAACACTATGTCACTCAAGGGCTTTTCATTTTGTAAAATATCAGACATTGTTTCGGGCCGGAAACTATTTATTTAAACTTTCACGATGCATAGTTAAGTTTTGATGAGCTGTCACCTCACCGCCGGCCACTTTAATCAGAATTAACGAATCACCGGATCAACTCGACCAAAAAAGGCCGGACTGAAATATCACCCGAGCTGTATCTGGCCTGCCGGAGGTTAGCTCATGTTTATCTTAGATAACTATCTGCCACACGGAGATAATTGGTCGCTTTAATTAAGGACAAGCGGGCTAACCCAGATTTCAGGGATTTCCAGAAATCTTGACCTACACCAAAAGTGGGCATTGCCCTACCTATAGGAAAAGTCTGGTTTCTTTGGTGTATATTTGGATATAGAGAAAACTCTCCTGGTCCTGTAAAGAAAATGAACAAGGGACATCAACTTTATCTTCGATTTTCTCAAAACAGCAGTTTTTCGGGATAGCCCCTTTGTGCTTAAAAGTGACCAATTATCTGCCACACATGTCAAATAGAAGAGCTGTCAGTTCGTGAGGTCAATCCTGCTGCAGTGTTGTTACATCATCTCACAAAGAGTGACCAGCACTCGAATTCTCTTGACCTGCTCTTCAAATTTGAATGTATTTAGCACAGAAGGCAACTTTTTTCAGGTGAGAGGGCGAGAGAGAGAAAGAGAGAGAGAGAGAGAGAGAGGGAGAGAGAAAGAGAGAGAGAGAGGGGGAGGACAGAGAGAAAGAGAGAGGGGGGAGAGAGAGAGAAAGAGAGAGAGAGCAGGGAGACAGAGAGAGAGAGAGAGAGAGAAA